TATTATTATTTTTTTTTAATTTGACCAGAGAGAGAGAGAAAGGGAAAGGGAGAAAACAAGCTCTGCCCAGTCCAGGATTTGAACCATGGTGGGCCAGATGGGAATCCAGTGCGTTTAAGCACCATGGCACCTGCTGGCCCCTTGTTTGTGTTCTTAATGCTAGAGGCTATGTGTACATACATGAGGCTAGATCATGTGAGAGAGGAGGCTCTTCCCAGTGGGGCCTGGTCAGTCCTTTTTCCTTCAGTTCTTCATCCACTCAGGATCTTGGTCACAGGTACACATTCCTTGAGTGTTTTTCAAGCCCCCAGGGCCAGAACTCTAACCGTGGTTTACCATGGAATTTGGCTTCCTCCGCACAGTGCTTAACAACTCTAGTGACAAGACTGGCACCTGTGGTTTTGTTTTGATCTTTTATTCCTACTGTTGCAGCTAAAAAAGAATTCAAAATACCATTACACTTTTTAAAACACTTGCACCATGATGTTTATATAATAAACATATCAGGGTCTAGCCCCATGATCTGGGTCTAGTGTTTAGGGAATTGGATCCCACATCGCCATTGGTGGTTTGAATACTATCTGTTGCAACTTCAAAACATAGCAGGCCTGTGTGTGTGCATGCTGCAAACCCTGAAGGGGTGGAGAAATGGAGGGAAAGGGACAGCAGCATGACCATACCCCATTGTGGGGTGCTTTCTCCCTCTCCCTTTCCTTTTTACTCTGTCTCTCTTTGTCTCTCTGGAAAGTTCATGTGTCCTCTGGCAATTAAAATGAAATAAATACATGAGTGTTTATTAGGTATATATTTTTTAAAGAATTATTTTATTTAACTTCATTTATTATTATTATTATTATTATTATTACTATTACTATTATTATTATTATTTTAATTTGACCAGAGAGAGGGAACGTGAGAAAGCAAGCCGCCAGGTTAATTTATTATTATTATTATTAGTTTTAATTTGACCAGAGAAAAACACAGAGAGAGGCAGAGAAGGAAAGTAAGAAAGCAGGCTGCCAAGTCCAAGACTCAAACCACAGTCAGCAGCCATGTGGGAGTCCAGAAGCTTCAACCACCATGCCACATACCAGCCCCAGGTATATCTTATTAAAATTAATTGCTGGAGCTGGCGGGTGGTGTGGTGACTAGGGGCACTGGACTCCTACATGGCCAACCATAGTTCAAGTCCCAGACTTCTGGCCTGCTTTCTCACTTTCTCTCTCTCTCTCACTCTCCCTCTCTGGTCAAATTAAAATGAATAAATACATAAATAAAGTTAAATAATTCTTTGAAAAATAAAATTAATTTCTGAAAAATAAAATGTTCAAAATAGCTAAGTAAGTGAAGTTTAAATTTAATATTTTCACAGGTGCTGGAGAAAATTTGGAAAATACAATGGCAGCCTTTCAGCAGTAAGTATGTCAAAAGATACTCTTCTATAGTTTATCTTCACAGTGGTGTTGATTTTCAAAGGGAAGATGTGTATACATGTAGCGTCCACTTGTGATCTTGCTTATGTTATGTTAAAACCACTTATTAAAACATTTAGTCTGAAATGTTACAGACTAAATGTTTGACTTCTGTATAACTGAAAAACTATTAGACCAGAGTTTTGGGTAATCAAATGATATTATAATTCCCAAGCTGAAAGAAGACATTTGTAACAAGGAACATACTGTGTATAATGCTAATTAGTCTTAGAGAGAAAGAAAATGAAACAACTGTTACATTGGCTGTTGTTTATGAATACCATTATGCTTCTTTTTTTTTTTCACTCAGTAATTTTTGTACAGGTCTAAACCTACAATCTGATTTTCTTCTTGGGTGTTTCATGAATATTGATATTATTTTTATTAATAAGGTAAATTAAAATTTTTCCTATTTTAACGGATTCATATTTAATACAGATGTCTTTCAGCGTACTTCACAGAGAAATAGCAGGAGAGAGAGAGCAATAAAAGCTGATTGATACCTTGTTCTCTTAGAGTCAATGATTATCATCAGTCTGGTAACATGAGAATGCTGTTGTCTTTTCCCTGAAAAATAACACTGAGGTTGTGAAATACTAAACCCAATGAAAGACATTGTTTATCCATATGTAGTAAGAAAAACATTTTCTTATATAATTTTGAGCCACTTTTTTTGGTATATAGTGGGAACTAAGAACTAGGGAATATTTGACTTAATTTTGTTTGTTTCTCACCATTCAAAACATTTTAGAGGGGACCAGCAGGTGGCGTGGTGGTTAAAGTGCTGGACACTCCCATATGGTTGACCATGGTTCAAGTCCCAGACCTGGTAGCTTGCTTTCTCACTTTCCTTCTCTCTCTCAGTGTGTGTGTCTCTCTCTGGTCAAATTAAAATAAATGAATGAATAAATTAATTTTAAAAATAATTAAAAAGACATTTTAGAGATTTTTTTCCTGTTATCAGGCTCTATAGTATGATATATTTTGTGTGTGATCTCAAAAATCTCTTACAAAAATGCAAAATTATTCCTCCTGTCACAGACTGTGAAGCTGAATTTTTTCATTTAAATTACTTTATCTTCTCTACTTAGCTAACTATAGGTAAATATGTATATTATTTTATGTGTACAGTTTCCACTAAGATACACACACACACACATACACACACACAGACACATGTGCATTATCACTTACCACTTGTTACTCAGGATACAGGTAATATGTATGCAGAATCTTCAAAAAGTTAATGGAAAAATGCTTATGATTTAAAAAAAAAAAAACATTATATGGGGACCGGCAGATGGTGTGGTCATTAAGGGCACTGGACTCCCACATGGTTGACCACAGTTTGAATCTCAGACCTGGCGACTTGCTTTCTTGCTTTCTCTCTCTCTCACTTGCTCTTTCTATCCCTCTCTGATCAAATATAAATAAATAAAGATAAATTAAATAATTATTTTTAAAATTATTGTTATTAGTCTTATTTATTATTTTTATACGTTCAATCATTATACATCATTTAGTTTGTAAAGAGATTTTACCCAACATGATAATACGCCACATAGCAGATGAGTTGATACTACTATACACGCCATCACCAATAGGCAACAAACCATATCTGTATAACACAAATGTCTTCTCCATATTTTCCCAGATTTCCCTTCCTGCACTCTTCCCCTCTCCCACTCTCCTTCCACTCTGTCCCCAGTGTCCATAATAATGTTTAATGCTTTTATGTCCTCCAGTCTTTCGATCTCTATTATAGAGCGTACAGTCGGTATATGTTAAGTGGAGACATACAATGTCTCTGTTTCATAGCCTGACTTGCCTCACTTAGCAACAAATCTTCCTTATTTGCCCACTTTCTATCACATGCCAGGGTCTTGTTGGTTTTTTATGGCTGAATAGTATTCCATGCAGTATATGTGCCACACTTTTTCAATCCATTCATCTGTTTGTGGATATTTGGGTTGATTCTGTGTCTTAGCAATCATGAGTAATGCCGCAATAAATGTAGCTGTGCAAGCGCTTTTCCGACTGAATGTTCTCCTGTCCTTTGGGTAGATACCCAGGAGTGGAATTGCTGAATCATATCATAGTTCCATTTGAAGGTCCTTGAGGAGCCTCCATATTGTTCTCCACAGCAGCTGTACCAATTTACATTCCCACCAATGATGTATGCGAGTTCCCCTTTCAGCACATCCCTGCCAGCATTTATCATGTTTTGAATTTTTGTTTTTTTTAATCTTCACCATTCTAACTGGGGTTAAGTGGTGCCTCATTGTGGTTTTGATCTGCATCTCCCTTATGACGAGCCATGTTGAGTGTTTTTTCATGTGCTTTTTGCCTGTTTATATGTCTTCCTTAGAGAGTTATTTATTCAGCTCATTTTCCCATCTTTTAATTGGGTTAATAATTTTCTTCCAGATAAACTGCTTGAGTTCCCTGTGTATTCTGGTTATCAGTCCCTTATATGAGGCATAGTTAACAAAAATTCTCTCCCATTCTGAGGGTTGTCAATTCACACTAATTACTGTGTCCTTTGCTGTGGAGAAATTTTTTAATCTGATATAATCCCACCTATTTTAGAAATTATTTCCTTTGCTTTGTAGGTCTTGCTTAAGAATTAAAAAGTCTTTGCCTACCCCAATGTCTCCCAGAGTTTCCCCAGTGTTTTTTCCACCAGTAGTTTTATAGTTTGTGGTCTTAGGTTTAAATCTTTGATCCACTTTGAGTTGATTTTTGTTAATGGTGACAGACAGGGATTCAGATTCATCTTGTTGTAGGTGGATACCCAGTTTTTCCAGTACCATTTGCTAAAGAGGTTTTTCTTTTCCCAATGGATTGATTGGTACCCTTTGTCAAAGATGAGTTGGCTGTATATGTTGGGGCTTATTTCTGGGGTCTCTACTGTATTCCATTGGTCTTCGTGTCTGTTTTCGTGGCAATACCATGCTTCTTTGATTATCACAGTTTTGTAATATAAATTAAATAATTATTAAAACAAAAACACTATGGATCAAAATTTTTGTGCCAAAATAATCTTATTTTAATTCTTTTTTTTTTTTTCACAACCTTTTTGAAATCCTCTTTGTATAATTTGGGAAAAACTTCTTATAACTTTGAGCACATTTAGCATCTTTATGTCTGAAGTATATTATTTTGTTAGTTTTTCTTCATACTCCTTGTCAGTTTTTATTAACCCTTATTTATAAATTTACTTTTTAAAGAATTTTTAAATTTAACTTTATTTACTTATTTTAATTTGACCAGAGGGGGACAGAGGGAGAGAGAGAGAGAGAGAGAGAAGGAAAGTGAGAAAGCAAGCCACCAGGTCTGGGACTTCAACTGTACTCGGCATGTGGAAGTCCAGCACCCTCAACCACCACACCACCTGCTGGTCCTGATATTTAAACATTATTTAAACTCACACTGGGAGTGTGTGCATGTGTGCCCAAGATCCTAAGAGAAGAATGGAGAAGAAGGGATTGCAGTGTGGCCATTCCCCCTGGGGGATGATTTCTCGCTTTCTGTCTTTCCAGTGAGCACACATTCCCAATAGCATAAATCTCTCTTAAAAAAGGAAAAAAGGGCCTGGCAGGTGGCAAGGTGGCTAAAACCGCTGGAGTCTCACATGGCCAACCACAGTTCAAGTCCCAGACCTGCCAGTTTGCTTTCTCACTTTCTCTCTCTCTCTCTGTTTCTCTCTTATCAAATTGAAAAATAATAGTAATAATAAAAAAATAAAGTTAAACAAAATAACTCCTTCAAAAAAAATCTCTCTTTTCTCTCTCTCAAGAACAAAAAATGTGGAGGCTAGAAGGAGGTATGATAGTTTAGGTGCTGGACTACCACATGGCCCACTTGGTTTAAGTTTCTAATCAGCAGCTGGAATATGTGCCAGGTTTGTGGGTACCCAAATCCCAGGAGGAGAATGGAGGAAGAGGGATTGCAGCATGGCCATCCCCCCTGGGGGGTGATTTCTCACTTTTCCCCTCCCTCTGTCTCCCTGGCAAACACATGTGCCCCATGCAAACATCTAAAAGAATCAAATTAATTTTTAAAAAAATTTTAACAAAATTTTATTCAAAGCATTAGGAAAATCATATTCAAAACATAGAAATAATCAGACTATAACAATGCTGTATAGATAGTGGTATACTAGTTCCCTGATAGTAAGTGACTTTTAACTAACTAAAACTTACATTTTCAAGTTGTCAGGTAGAAAACGGTAGAGGCATTATTTCTTCTGAGGCTGGAAAAATGGCTTTCATGGTGAGAAGTTAGGCCATTTAAATAACAAAAATTGATTATATCCCAATTTAATTCTAATTGTCCTTTTGTTATTTCTCAAAGATGAAATATAGGACATAAGGATTAGTGGAAGGGAATAAAAAGTGAGTTACTTCTTAGGAAATACCCTGATCAGTGCCTGCTTTTAATCAGAATAAAGAAACACTGAATTCGGTACCAGCAGTTAGCGTAATGGCTATGTCGCTGGACTCCCATGTAGTCGACCGCAGTTCAAGTCCCGGACCCAGTGGCTTAAAACTCACACCAGGCACATGTGCATGTGTGCCCAAGATCCCAAGAGGAGAATGGAGGAGAAAGGATGGCGTGGCCATCCCCCCTGGGGGGTGATTTCTCGCTTTCTGTCTCTCTGTCTCTCTCTCTGTCTAGCGAGCGCACATGCCCTATAGCAAAAACCTCTCCAAAAAAAAGAAAAAAAAAAAAGGAAAGGAAAAGAAAAGAAAGGAAACACTGAATTAAGTTTTAAAAATTATAACTACACCAGTATGCTAACTAAAATTCTCAGTGTGAATACATAATATGCTTCATGTATACAAGAAAAAAATGGCCTGTTTTTATCCTTTGACCTTCAATAGAAGAACACATGTTATCACTAATGGGCATTTGAAAAATAATTTCCAAAGCACAGGATT